ATAATAATAATAATAATAATAACCCGTGCCACAGATCATATTATTATGTTAAACTGCTGAAGAGATAAATTACCAATAGAGAATGCAAAAACAAGTTCGTGTAGGCTAGGTAGCACGTTAACGAAGTAGAAATCAGTGAACAGCAAAAAAAAAGGGTCACAACCGGCGCCACAGATCATATTACTAAGTTATTTATCTATCTCCCCATCCACTCCAATAAATCCCTAACTCAGCAGAAATATCATACTTCAACCCACAAACATAACAATATATACAGCTAGAGTAGCACTTTAGTCTGAAATGCATACTTTTCATCCAACTTTGTAAGCTCTTCGTTGATCTTGGTACGCATTGAATCTAGGGCTGTCTGATCCAAATTCAAAACCTTGTTGGAAACTAGGGTTTCGTACAAAGGAGCCATATCTACAAAATCCCGAAAACAGAACCCTAAATTAAGATTCAAAATTCGAAATAAACAAACAACAATTATACCAAAAAATATGAGAAATAATTGAATACCGTTGGAGATAATGGAATTGAAAACCTCATCACGGAGGCGGACTTTTTCGATGTCATCAACGTCGGGATGAGTGAGGAGAAATAACTTGTGTGCTAGTACAAGCTGGGGTTGCTGCGTTCCCTCTTCGCCTTCCATTGATAAATGATTTAACTTCTTCTTCTTTTTGCTCAAAAAGGACTACTGAAAGATTTCTTGCAGAGGGAGAAACAGCAATTGAGGGTGGAGGGTGGTATATATGGATGGGTGAATCAGTAGCAAAATGAAAATGTCGTTCGTTGGGCCAGAATTTAAAGGTTTGGGCTTTCAGACTCAATGGTATGGTTTGGGCCCCCAGTTAAATGGATAATAATAGATAGAAATGACAGGAAGTCGACAAAGGGGTGGTAAATTTTCTCTTCTCGCACTTGCCTTGTCTTGTCCTGCCCTGTCCTGCCCTATCATACATAACGAGTTCGGTAGGAATGACAAAAAAATTCATCATATTCCGTACTGACTCGTGTTGCCTCGTATTGTCCTAACTTTAATAGTAAGCACGGTGTTCATAGGAAACATAGCTTGCACCTGAAATTCTCCGAACTTGTCCTAATCATTTTATTGAGATTTTTATTAATGTCTCCATATCTTGTGAATTCTCATCCTGACTCCCAAATATTTTGACGGGCCAAAAATGCTAATCGCCTCAACCATGCCTTCGCCCCGTCTTTGTCTAATTTATCAACAAGATAAAATTGATGAAATGTGTAGTAGAAAAGTTAATAAAAATTGTAGATTTTAAAAAATGTTTCGTTAAAATTTTGAATAGTTGATAAAAGTGTTCAAAAAAATACTCAAGCCTATGTCGTTTGAGGGTTTTTAAGTAAAACAAATTGCTTCACTTCAACATTGATTTTTTGATAGTGTTGTCTCCAATATAAATGTTTTACAGTCTAAATGCCAAATTGGATGAGTCGATCCGCCCGTTAAGAGTGGCTCATGAATCTGGTCATAACTCGAGTGGGCTCGATTCACCGATCAGTAGTTGAAAAGTCTTCGCCAATTAACCTTAGGGCCCGTATTAATATTAAAAAAACTGAATTTGAATTTTTAAGGTTCATGGACATCCTTTAAAGAAGGCTCGTGTTTTGAAAATTATCTTTTTTACGTACTTATTTTAGCTACGCATTCATACATAAGATATTTTGCATAGAAATAAAAAAATTTTTACTTTTTAATCAGACATTCTCCTAGAAATCACCATTCAAAATATTATTTTTCTCAAATAGTGGCCATCAAATTGGGGCTCACTCTCCCGCTTCAGCAATTTGCCCTTATTTGAATGGTGTGTTAGCCTTTTAAGCCCCATTTTTTTTTAATGGGAATGGGCTTTCGAATATTGAGTTTTTGGAGAATATGATTAAAAATAGGAAAAATTTTGTATTTACGTGTAAAATTATTTTATGGGAGAATAATTGGATGAAGAATGAATTTTGTGAAAAACGGAGCTCAAACATGAACAAATATGTTACCATCAGGTAACTTCAAAAAAATATCGATTTTTTGTGCATAAACACACTATTTTACCCATTGAATTCATTATTCACACAAACATTTGCTTATTTCATAGATTGAGGGCCTGTTTGGTATGAATTTTGATTTTCTACAGTAAATCAATTCTCATTTTCAACCACACATTCTTCAATAAAATAATATTTTCCATCACATCAATAATTTTTTCTTTTTTTTCAACCACACATTTCACATCATATCACTATTC